GCTAGCACCGTGCACGGGCTCACCTCTGGCCTGCTAAGGTGGCCCCTCGTCGGTCACAGCCGTTACAGGCGCGGCAACCCGCACCAACAGTTCGCCTCTGCCCCCGTCCTCTCCCCTTCTTGTCCCTCCTTCGCCTTCTCACGAGCTTGCTCATGGCAGTTGGGTGCGACGGAGCCCCCACGCAGCCGCCTCCCCGACCTCGCTGGCTTCGGCCATTACGCCCCAATGCACCACCACAACGTCGACAAGAGACATCCTGGCGAGTTGCGAGCTGGGATGTCCACCACTGTCAATGAACAGGAGTTGGCGTCCGTTCGCCAGCTCACCTATGATCTGCTTAGGAGGCCCCGAGTCGGCCACAGCCGTTGCAGGCGCGGCAACCCACACCCACTATTTCCCTCCGCCTCCAAGAAGCCCGCCAGCCCTGCAAGTGACGGGGAGGCGAGTGGAGGCTTCGACGTACAGTGCATTATCCTCAACGGTGGCTGCAGATGGACCTGGACTTTACTCCTCCTGTGGGAGTTCGGTTTGCCTGCGCTATTCCTTCAGGGGGAAGTGCCTTGCGGCCGCATGCGGGGCAGGCGCGGTGGCGCATTGTCGTGGCTGAGGCGCCTCGGTATGTTTCTGGACGGCCCTCGTACCATTCCTGAACTTATTCCCACGGGGGGAATGAAGGCTCCTCCGGCCAGTCACCCATGGGGAATGACCTTTTGGAATTGTCTGTAGCTCGCGCAGCGGCCTTTTGCCGTGGTCATCGAGCTTCTGTGATCGTTGCTGATGGCTCCCTTAGTGAGTCCTGGACATCTTCCCCCGGGGAGGAATGCGGGCTCCTCTGGCTATTCCCCCAGGGGGAACCGCATGTTGGGGCTATCTCGTGGACCAAGACAAGACATACGCCAAGACAAGACATCATGGACTCAAGTGACCCCCCTCAGGTCGGGCCTCCACAGTGACATCAGGACCTACTGGGCTTCGTCCTCCTGGGGTCATGGGGCGCCGTGCCTCCGAGATAAGGCTGGCACAATGCATCTGGATTCGAGACTCTCGCGGAACCCCCTAGAATGGCCCCCATCCACACTCCACAACCGCTTAGGCTCAAGTGTGGCGGCATCGCCTGTGCCTTCTGCTTTTCTCCCAGATCCACTACGAAGCCTACGACCCGCGTCGCTTCTCACTGCCGAGGCCCAGATCCGCGCTGCGACGGCTTCCTCCAGCGCGGACCTGTGGGTTCAGGAGCACACTCGGTGCAGTGCAGCCGCGGGGACGAGTGCGGCACCTTCAGGCTGGTGCCATCGTCTGCGCCTGCACCGATCACTACCCCTTCAAGCAGCTGGCAGCTACTCATGACTGGACCAGGCCACGGACGAGGAAGCCAGACCTTCGACCGCGGCAATGGCAAATCCGACTACGCCAGGACAGCACCTTCACCTTTCCACTCCCCGACGACGCCACCTGGCCCCACGAGTGCCCTTCCAGCGACCCCGGCCCTCTTGAGCAAAGCCACGGCGACGCCAGAAAGGGCGGCGTTCGGGGACCATGCACGAGGCCCCCCGAGGAAGGGGGCCAGGCTCCGTGACCGCCCGCTCTCAAAGATCGTAATGACCAAGGCGGAGGTCACCTTTTACGAGCAGCATGCCAAGTCGGGCTCGGCAGGGGCCAACCCGGACCACTTGGCGGCACTGGAGTGCTAGAAACGCCTCGAGGAGGAGGCAGCCCTCGCCTCCTCCACCGCGGACCCGAACCAGGCCGTCACTGCCCGGCGAGGTAAAGCAGAGAAAGCGCTCGCGCACGAGATCGCAGAAATGGAGGCCCTCGGCGGCCAGATCGACCGCCACTGCGACGAGCACTTCGCCATCGGTGCCTCGATCGAGTCTCGAGTCCTGGAGGTGCGCGCCGCCCGGGAGCAGCAGCCGGCCCTCGGGTTGCAGCCAGACCCGCCGACTCCCGAGGAAGACTGGGGCCCTGCAGCTGCGGAGACCCTGGGCTTCCTCCGCAAGCACCCCGACATCGACGTCCAGTCGGAGGACCCCGCCGACCTGCAGACCAAAGTCATACAGTCGGGCCGCTGAGATCAGGAACGCTGAAGGAGGAACAAAGCCCCCTGTAGACCCCAAAACCCTCTTCGTTCACGACGAGGGCTAGAGGAACAGCCATGGAAGGACCTATGGAGCAGCCAGCCCCTTTCGAACCCAAACTGTTCCTTATTTCGGCGTCTTGATATCCTGTCGTTCGGCTTGGGCCCGAAAACAGGGCCCTCGAAGCACACCTGGGCGTTATACAGCATCATTGCAAACTGCCCCTGATTGTAGACGGAGACTCCAACATGCCAGGATCGCTTTTGAGAGAGACCGATGTTTCTGGCGGCTTGCCTCCGCCATCCATCTCGCCACTTGCCGCGCACATCGCCCCCCCACCCCTCCTCCCTTCCCCCACTCTTGCGCTGTGTTTCCGAACCTTTTCCGGTGAGCTGCGCGGGAAACCAAATTCCGCCACACGCGCCCACTATACGGTCGGGGCAAGTCTCAGGGCCCGCACATCTCTGATGATACGAAAGCTCGGATCGTTGTATCATCCGAGTCCGGGGCATACGCCCTCCTCGCCGAGAGCTCTCGGGGACCGCTCTGATGCCACAAAACTTGGTCGTGCGGAGGCAGGATCTGTCCCCCGCTACTCGGCCACTTCGGACAGCTGTTGTGATCAAGTACCCACTGGCCCCAGCAATGTGGCCAGTAAACGGCGCATAGACGGTAACTCACACCCCGGGAACTGACGCATATTGCAATCTGCCTTACTCTTTCCCACGTTCGAGCTCGATGGTGCGAAGGAACAGACGGAAACCACCTCCGCTGGAACGCACACGCAATTCTGGCACGGAGCTGGCGGAAATCGTGACAACCCCTTCTCCCCCCAGCCCTGCAAGCTCTTGAGCCCTTACTCGTCCTTCTTTGTCCCCCCTCCATTTCCCAGTTGTCTGCGCGTTCCCCACCTCGAACGCGTGACATCTGGTGATGGTTTGTGGTAGCACTATCTACGGTAGCGCCACGGTGCACCGCAGAGCAAGCACGTCAGAGGATGTATTAATCCAGGGCGCGCCGCACACCAGAGGATTTATGAGTCCACGGCGCGCCGCAAAACTGAGAACGTACTGCGGGAGGTCTGACCAAAATGTAAACATACACCATCACCACCACCACCACAACCACCACCACCACCACCACCACCACCACCACCACCGTCACACCACTACGAAATTCGTGTCACTTCGTTGCGTCTTGCATTGTTGGGCTGAAGTCGAAGAGCTTCGTGTCCGTGAGTGCGGAAGTTCGGGCGGTTCTTCCGATCCAACGTCACGTACCTGATCATAGCGCCACCCTGGGGGAATAATTATCACGGGTGACTGCCCCGCCCCGCCTTGCCTCGCATGGGATGGGCGGCTGGGAATCGCCAGCCCGCGTTGTTGGACAAGATGTGCCATTGGGCCCATCAACGGAGCTAAGGCGCCCCAAAGCCATATTACCAAAATCCTCCTCCTCCTCCTCCTCCTCCTCCTCCTCCTCCTCCTCCTCCTCCTCCTCCTCCTCCTCCTCCTCCTCCTCCTCCTCCTCCTCCTCCTCCTCCTCCTCCTCCTCCTCCCCTCCTCCTCCTCCTCCTCCTCCTCCTCCTCCTCCTCCTCCTCCTCTCCTCCTCCTCCTCCTCCTCCTCCTCCTCCTCTCTCCTCCTCCTCCTCCTCCTCCTCCTCCTCCTCCTCCTCCCTCCTCCTCCTCCTCCTCCTCCTCCTCCTCCTCCTCCTCCCCTCCTCCTCCTCCTCTCCTCCTCCTCCTCCTCCTCCCTCCTCCTCCTCCTCCTCCTCCTCCTCCTCCTCCTCTCTCCTCCTCCTCCTCCTCTCCTCCTCCTCCTCCTCCTCCTCCTCCTCCTCCTCCTCCTCCTCCTCCTCCTCCTCCTCCTCCTCCTCCTCCTCCTCCTCCTCCTCCTCCTCCTCCTCCTCCTCTCCTCCTCCTCCTCCTCCTCCTCCTCCTCCTCCTCCTCCTCCTCCCTCCTCCTCCTCCTCCTCCTCCTCCTCCTCCTCCTCCTCCTCCTCCTCCGTCTCCTCCGGTTTTCCGTCTCCTCCGTCCTCCGCCTACGGTCCTCCTCCCCCCCTCCTCCCCCTCCTCCTCCCCCTCCTCCTCCTCCTCCTCCTCCTCCTCCTCCTCCTCCTCCCCCTCCTCCTCCTCCCCCTCCTCCTCCGCCTCCGCCTCCTCATCCGCATCCTCGGGAAGGGGGGGCCACGAGAGGCCGGCATGGCGAGAGAGGGGGCAGGGGCAGGGATCGAGGGCACGGGGGGGGGGCGACGGAGACGCAGGCGGGCACGGCGACGGCGTCGGCGACGACCGCGGGACGGGGAACGAAGGAACGGCAGACACCGCCGGCTCAAGCCTGGCGTGTAATCCGCCACGGCGGTGTGCCGCGGTTGATGGTGCTCTCTTGACTTCGCCTCTTGCAGACCAGTAGTGAGGGAGTGAGGGCCCCAACGCAACTTGATCAGCATGCTATTCTGTTCTGCTCCGAGCTCCTTGGCCTCTGGCCAACCGGAGAAAAACCAAAGCCACGAAGCCGAAGCCTGAGTCCCAGGTGAAATCCCCAAATCCTTCATGGCACCACCCGTCGACCCCTCCACAGACCCGTCTCTTCTCCCCCCCGCCCCCGGCCCAATCACTTTTTTCGTCACAGCACGGCAGAGGCGATCCCCACGCGCGCTCGAGTCAGCCGGGGGAGGGCGAACTAATGACTGTCCGGCGGCACGAGGGGGGGAGGGGGCGTCGAGCGGCCGCAATGCCGCATATACACACACACACACACAGACACACGCACGCACGCACACACACAGACAGACACACACACACACACACACAGACACACACACACACACACACACACACACACACACACACACACACACACACACACACACACACAAAGCGCGGGTGCGGAGACGCGCGGCGGCGCAGCTGGATGAGGTGCGCTCAGCCCCGCCGCCTCCAGGCGTCGATGGCGGCGAAGTGCTCGTCGACGAGCGCCCCGTACTCCTCCCATGCGATCTTGCCCCGGAAGAAGTTGCACGAGAGGTTGGCCTCCAGAAGCACCAGGTCCGCCGCGCCGACCCCGAGTCGCGGCGGGCAGAACGCCACGTCCCAGCCGGCCAGCGGCACGCCCGGCATGAGCGCGTCGTGGGCCTCCTGGCAGAGCGCCGCTGCCGCGGACGCGCCGTGCAGCCGCTCGCCCACAAGCGTGCGCCCCGTGTCCGGGTGGGCCGAGATCGAGCCGTCCACGGTGCTCACTGGCGCGCCCCAGGCCTTGAGGCCCAGGCAGTACCAGTGCTTCGAGGAGGATCCCGAGCCGAGGGTCTCGCTCGTGAGGGCGTCGGGCACGTTGAACATGACGCAGTTGTGGTCGGTGCCCGAGCCAGCACGGCCCGCGCGCCAGACGGAGCACAGTGCCTTGGCCGCGGTGCCCTTGCCGCCGGCAGCGCCCATCGCCTCGAGCGCGCCGCGGGAGCCGGTCACGACCCGCATCGTCGACAGGGGGGCGCTGTTGGAGGAAGAAAGGGCTGCGTGAGCATGAGCTCCCGGAGGTCCGCGCAGAGTTCTCGAGCCGGCGGTCGAGACCAGGGGCCCAGCGCCGACGCCAGAAATCCACGCGGAGGTCCGGGAGCTGATGTTTTGGCAGCGTTTTCTGCTTCGGGCTGTCTGGCAGGAGCTTCTGCACGGCCTCGCAGTTGTCCAGCTTCTCCTGCAGGATCCACCTGCCGCCGTGCATCACGTTCTTCAGCACGTGGATGCCCATCCCGCCCTCCTCGTTCACGTCCTTCGCGATGAGCGTGACTGGCTCGCTCATGACCGGCGTGACGGGGATTTTCTTGTCAAGGCAGGCGGATATGAATTTCCACTTGTCCTCTAGGTCGAAATCCTTGCTCTTCGTGGCCAGAGCTGTCATCGACGCGAGCCGGCAGTTGAGCTGCCAGAGCTGGATCCAGTCGGTGGGGGCCAGCAGCGAGCGCCGGAAGCACTCCGCCGCCGACTCCTCCATCCCGCGCAGCCTACGCCACCACGAGCCCCAGAACGCGACCGTGGGAATGACGAAGAGGATGGCTGCAACGGCCGAGGCACGAGACCGCGCCCAAAACGACAGCGGCACGCCGTATACCCCCGTGGGCACCGTCACGTTGCGAAGATTCGTCAGCATATCTTGCTGGAAGGTGCCCGCCCTGTAATGCGGCTGCACCATCAGCCACGGCACCGACGCCAGGCTGTAGAGGTGGGCTCGCCCCAGGGGCGACAGGCGATACTTCTCGGGCAGCTCTGCGTACCGCCCGCCCCTCCAAAAGTAGAGGACAACGCCCCAGTAGCGGAGCAGCGAGAACGCCATGGGTGAGCATCGTTTAACCGATCCCGATCCCCACTTGCTTGGCCTGGGCCCCACTGGCCGATTACCCCCTAGCTTCGGGCCTTGAAGGGCAAGGCCCCAACTGGGATGGTGGGATGGTGGGGATCAGCATCGCGGTTGGGATAGGAATCGGTTGAACGATACCGCATGGGAGCGGCACAGCAGCCACACAGCAGCAGCGCCAGCGCCAGCACGGCGGCTGCGGCGCCTGCGGCGGGCCCCGCCTCCGCGGCCCCGACCCAGCACAGCGCGCGGCCCGCACTCGGCGAGGCGGCCGGCCGGCCAGCGGCCAGCTGCAGCGCATGCGCCCCTGGCGGCACGGCGAGCCCTGCAGAGAAGCCCCGTGCCACAGAGGTGCAGGCGGCGGCCAGCGCCGCGAGAGCCACGCAGCCCGCCCGGGCGCTCCGGCTGCGCCCGCGTCCCCCTGCGGGCCTCGAGGCGGGCATCACGAGACAGCGGCACGCCGGCGCCCGCGGCGCGCTTCCCTCGGTCGCTCCTGCGGCGCGAGGCCGACAAGCCCGAACGGCTGGGGATGAGGATGGAGAGACACGGGTGGAGATGAAGATGAGGACGAGAACGAGGATGAGGGCCACAGGAAGACGAAGATGTGACCTGTGATGGATACGAGGACGAGGATGACGATGAGGGTGGCGATGGGGAAGTGAGGATGAGGATGATAACGACGAAGACTGGGACGAGCATGAGGGAGAAGACTAGGATGATAATGCGAAGACAGCTCGCTGGCTGGGCCCTACCGCAAGCCCAAAACGGCGAGCGTAAACCGGGTGTAGCCCCGTAGGAATTTCCATGGGTGCGCCACCGATGGGTTGCGCCGTGGGTTGCGCCAGAGGTTGCGTCATCCATTGGTTGCGCCGTGTGTTGTGCGCTCATCGGCTGCGCAATAGGTTGCGCCATCCATGGGTTGCTCCATGGGTTGTGCCATAGGTCGCGCCATGGGTTGCGCCATGGGTTGCACCTTAATTTGCGCCATGAGTTGTGCCCTCGGCTGCCGAACATGAAACGGCCAGACGTTAGTTGCACCATAGGCTGCGCCATCGTATGCCGAAAAAACTGCCTTCTATTGGATGCACCATAGGCTGCACACTCGGCGGTCGAACAACAACTGCCAGCAACTATTTGTGTAATAGATTGCGTTCCTGCAAGTCGTGCATCCAACAATTTGCTTTTGGCTGCGCATTGTTTTGCGCCCTCATCTGCCGATTCGCTACCGTGCCTCTGGGCACGGAGTTGGCGTGTCCTCAGGTCCTTGGCCGAATCCTCCAAGCCTCAATCCTCACTCCTGAGGAGTCCTGAAGGGGCCTGGACCCCAAATTCCGAACATTCGCAGGGCTTGCCAGGTGCCCCCTGGGCTCCGAGAAATGGAAGCGTGTGACTTGTTCGGACCCAAGAAGGCCACAGTACGGGCCAAGAGGGCCCCAAGACGCCCCGAAGGCGGCCCAAGAGGGCTCCGAGTCGTCGAAAGATCGGCCCAAGACGCCTAAGGTGGCCCCCAGACGGCCCAGCCAGCAGGCGTCCAAGACAAGGAGGCCTCCGAGAGGCCTCCCAAGATGCAAAATCATTGATTTTCCGTTGGTTTTTGAACGAGTGGGGCGATCTCGACTTCTCGGCTTTCCGACGTTCCAAGCCGGCCCAAGAGACCCCCAAGACCACCCCAAAACGGCCCAAGAGGCCTCCGAAAGGGCCCCAAGACAGCCGAAGAGCGTCCCAAGACGGCCCAAGAGGCGCCCAAGACGGCCCAAGAGGTCCCCAAGACGGCCCCAAAAGGGGCCCCAGAGAGGGAACACGAACCGAAAATCCGAGCCTTCTGCATCAAGAGGCCCCCAGGAGGCCCCAAGAGGCGCCCAGGAGGCCCCAAGAGGCGCCCAGGAGGCCCCCAGGAGGCCCCCCAAGAGGCCCGAAGAGGCCCCAAGCGGCCCAAAAGAGGCGCCAAAGAAGCCCCCACGAAGCACCCAAACTGCCTCCAACAGGCCCCAGAGAGGCCTCGCACGAGATCCCAACGAAAATGCAATAGGCTTCATACCCACATCCCAGGCACGGTGGCGGGATGGGCCGACGGCCATCAGATTCACCACCCCCTGTTGGCTTGCCACAGGGGTGCCTGGCATGCTGAACTCTATACGGCTTGTTTGGGATGTTTGTTGGAAACATATATATATATAACAAAAAAAAAAAAAAAAAAAAAAAAAAAAAAAAAAAAAAAAAAAAAAAAAAAAAAAAAAAAAACGCCTGGGGTTTCGGCCCAGCGCGCCGCGCCGGCCACCCGGAAGGGACCGCAAAGCACCTTAACGTCCGGAAACAATCCCCCGAGACCGCTCAAGATGGCCTTCAAGAGGGCAAGATGGCCTCCAAGTTCGCCCAAGTAGGTCCAAGATGGCCTCCAAGATGGCCCAAGAGAGTCCAAGCTACCTCCAAGTCCATCCAAGAAGCCTCCAAGACGGACCAAGACGGCCCAAGAGGCCCCCAAGAGACCTCCAAGACAGCCCAAGAGGCCTGCAAGAGGTCCTCCAGAAGGGCCCGAAGAGGCCAAAATCACTGATTTGCGCTAAGTATCTCTGCCCGCAGGCACCTCCAAGGTCCCTTTCCCGAGCAGTTCGCACCCTCCGACGGCCCGAGACGGTGCAGGAGCTCCCAAATATCGCCCCAAGATCGCCCAAGAGGCCTCCAAGATGGCCCCAGAACAGCCCAAGAGGCCCCCAAGACGGCCCCAAGAGGGCCCCAAGACGGCCCAAGAGGCCTCCAAGACTCCCAAGATGGCCTCCAAGACGGCCCTGGAGCACCCCAAGAGGGCCCAGAGGCCCCCAAGACGACTTCCGACAGCGTCAGAAGGGAAAGGAACTACCTAAGACGGGCAAAGAGGCCACCGAGAAGCCCAAAAAGGCCCCCAAGACGCCCAAGGAGGCCCCCAAGATGCCTCCAAGAGGTTCCCAGGAAGCTCCCAGGAGGCCCCAAGAGAGCCCGCGGAGGCTCCCAAGATGCCCCCCCTCCTCCTCCTCATCCTCCTCATTCTCCTCCTCCTCCTCCTGATCTTCCCCGCCATCCTCCCCCAAGTGTTCCCCGAAGGTTTCCACAACGGCTGGGGGAACACATGGACCGAGAGCTTGGCAGAGCTCTTGCCACAGTACTCGGCCACATGGGCCATTCCAAAAGGCAGGGGGCGGCGGTGATTCGCCGTAGGCGTCTTCGATAATGAAACGCCTGCTAGTGGTTGCGCCATGGGTTGCGCACTCGGCTGCCAAACAGAAAATGCCATGCTATTGGCTGCGCTATTATTTGCGCCCTCGGCTGCCGAACATCAAACGGCCTGTCGTTGACTGCTTCATAGGGGGCGACCTTGTTTGCAGAAAATTAAACTAGATCACTGCACGCTAAGTGGGATACGCAAAAAATGAGACACTGATCGCTGGATTGGCAGGTGGTGACACGCGAAACGCTTAGAATACTCACCACAAACGACATTGCCCCCAGCCGCGCCGTGCCGTCGAGTGGCGATGCGGAAACCAAAAGAAGAAATTCAATCCAAAATCCGAATCCAGAATCCAAAATTCCGGATTCCGGAATCCGTGCTCCAATTCCAAATTTCGTGTTCGGATTCCCGATCGGACCTCCCGGCTGGAGAGTCCGACCTGCCTTGACAATATAGAGATTGCTGTATAACGTTCGCTTGTGCATCAAGAGCGTCCAAAAAAGCCCACGAGGCCTCGAAGACAGTCCCAAGCGGCTCCAAGAGACAGCCACGAAGGGGCCCATATTTCTCCAAGACGCCTCCAAGACGCCCCCCCAAAGAGGGCCTACGGGGCCTGTTGTCCACAACACAGGCACAATGGCAGGATGGGCCGACTGCGGGAGACAATTCTGAGTCTTCTGCAGAGGCGAGGGGGCACCCGAACAAAAAGCTGTCCTGGATTCCTATGAGATATCGAAACTTGGTGAGACACTGTGAAATGCAGAAGGAGCAAGCATGCAATTGGGATGAATGCTAAAGCATAAGCTGCACGATTAAGTGATGGCGATGCGTGCAAAATGGTCGAGAACTGTGATTTCCGCTATACCAACTCAAAGGATCGCGTGACAACTTTCGCGAAATGGGCAATGTTCAAGCGTGCGGTTCCTCCTGGGCATGGTCCACATTGAAAACTCGGGCCGTCCTGACTCGTACAGTAGCCGCCGTGAGCAACCCCCAAATGCGCTATGAATTCAGCTGCACAGTCGAACAAAGAACAAGAGAAAGAGAGAGGCAGAGACAAAGACAGAGACAGAAACAGAAAGAAACACAAAAATGGAAAAAAACAAAAACAAACAAAAAAAAAGAGAGAGAGAGAGGGGGATGTAACCTGAGAGGCGATCCCGACCGGGTAATGCTGCAGATAGCCACTGGACTGAGACTCCGCGCCTGCAACCCCTGTCACAACCCGTGATAGTTTCAGCAGATGCGAAGCTCGATCACTGAGTCCACCTCATTGTGCAATGATGTCGAAAGCACTTGACGCCCAGACATCTACATACACATCTACATATTAATAAAACGATGTAGTACTCATGATAGTGTTAATACCACTATTAGTATTGGTAATACTATGAGTAGTAGCAGTATTACGACTAGTATCAGCAGTGTTACTAGTAGTAGCAGCAGTAGCATGATTGCTGGTAATAACAATAATACGAATATTAGTCGTGCAAATATGGCAACAATAATTGTTAGTTGTCGTAATAGTAAACAGAATACTCATATTACTAGTTGTGTAACTAATACTATGACTGCTATGTTTACTCAGATGGGTAATTGTAATAGTCGGAGTAGTAGTAGTAGTAGTAGTAGTAGTAGTAAGAGTAATTGAAATAATAGCCGCAGCAGTAGTATCAGTAGTCGTAGTAGTAGTAGTAGTAGTCGTCGTCGTAGTAGTAGTAGTGGTAGTAGTAGTAGTAGTAGCAGCAGCAGTAGTAGTAGCAGTATAGTAAATACTAATATGCGGACAGCGCTGATAAACATACGATTAAGAATATCAAAAAAAAAAATAACAATAATGATAGTCTTACTTGTATTATTAGTCGTAGCGGTGCTACTATTGCTATTATTATGAGCCCCCTTGCGGGGCCATCAGGCTGCGAGGATTAGGCTTGCTGCTCCCTGCTCCAGTTCCAGTTCCCAGTATCCATTGTGATAGTTCTACGTACTGCTTCCTACTAAACATGTTGGAATCCGCGAGAGGGAAGGAAGCCGAATTGCAGCCTGGTCAGCGTCCCCCATGGGTTGCCAGAATTCCTGGGAGAGCGCGGGACACATAAAAATACACGGAATTCGCCCCCCGAGGCCATAAGCCCTTGCAAAACACTCCATAGTCGCGTTCCCGAAGCCATAAACCCTCGTAAATTAAGCTATTTCCGCGCACCCGAAATCCAAATCGATTTTAAAGTATATATCATTCGCGCCCCCGAGGCCACGAACCCTCGTAAATCATTCCGTATATGCATCACCGAGGCCATCATCCCTTGTAAATTACCCCATATTCGCGTCCCGAGGCCACAAGCCCAAATAAGTCATACAATACAATATTCCCGAGGCCAGTATGTCCGTAAGGTACGCAATCTCCGCGTCCCCGAAAGCACAAGCCCTCGTAAATTACACTAGTCGCGCCCCCGTTTAGCAATTAGGCAATATGTTCGTCGTCGAAGGCATAAGCCCTCCTACATTACACGATGTTCGCGCCCACGAGGCCACGATCCCTCGTGACTTGCGGAGTCATTGCGTCCCTGACGCCACGATCCTTTCTAAATTACAACACGTTCGCAACTCCGAGGCCACGACCTCTCGTACATTACGCAACTTTCGCGCCCCCGAGGTTAATTGCTACACAACATGCGCGCTCCACGCTTCACGTGAGAGGCCACACTCTGTTGAAGATTACAACGGTTTGGCACTTCCGAGGTTGCTCTTTCTCGAAAACTAAAGAATCGCGCCCCCAGCAAATCTTATAGAGAGGGGGCCGGCGGCAGGGGGCGAAGCCCTTACGGATAGCACGATTAGCATTACTGATACCAATACGCTGCGCTGCTGTTGCTGCCTTATTGTTCGGATGAGCACTGGCACTAGAAGAGTAGTACCATTACTAATACTATTAGTAGCCTTTTCATGATTGTCAATATCAATATTACAAGTATTACGAGTATGATGCTTAGTAGAAATAATTGATGTTCTTAGTCAGCTCAGTGTCCTTCGTCTTCTTATTATGATTAGCGATGGTCGTAGTATAATGCATAATCTTACGCTTACATTTCGTATTAAGAGTAGTATGCGTTATTACTGCTATTAGCCTTGTTATTACCATTGCTAGTCGCATTAATTGTCGGTATACTTGTATTCGTCTTGTTCGTTCTTATGGTAGTCATATTGGTGTTCATGATGTTATGCGTCGTCTGCTTCGTTATCTTACCCTTATAATTCGCAATACTTGTATTATTGATAGTAGTAGTATACTTGTTCAGTATGCGTGTTATTGTTAGCCTTAAGTTTACTGGTCATCGCATTACTACTCTTAATAGTAGTAGTAGTAGTAGTAGTAGTAGTAGTAGTAGTAGTAGTAGTAGTAGTAGTAGTACTACTACTACTAGTAGTAGTAATAATAGTAGTAGTAGTAGTCGAAGAAGAAGAAGTAGTAGTATTGTGATTTACATTCGTAGTATTGGTCTTAACCATAGTATTTGTACTACTAGTAACAGTATTACTTTCGATAGAAAATGATCAGTAGTACTAGTATTCGTCCTTCTCCTCCTCTGCCTCCTCCTTCTCCTCCTCCTCCGCCTCCTCCCCCTCATCCCCCTCCTCCTCCTCCTCCTCCTCGTCCTCCAGCTCCCGCGGGGAGGGGCGATGCCGACCGAGGCCCGGACGGTGGCGCAGTGGCAGCGCCGCCATCTCGTCGCAGAAGGCCGCCAGGCTCGGCACCTAATGGGATCGGGAGGGGAGGGAGGGACCGCTGTGCCTTCGTTGTACGAGCATGCGCCGAAACCCTTGGCTGATTACTTGGACGTCGACTGCCTTGTGCATGCAGCGACTCTTCCAAATTCTTCATTCCTGTTTCTCGGGATTACATCGCGGAGGCCAAACACCCCAGCACAGCAACTAAACAGCGGATATGATGATGCATGGCGAGGCACCCCCAGGTACGACCCCTGGCACATCCCCTGGCGCGTCCCCTGGCATGTCCATTGGCACGTTCCCAGACGCGTCTCCAGACACTTCCCCTGACACATCCACTAGCTGACGGACGGGTCCGCTGGCACGTCCCAACGCGTGTCCCGAGGAGACCTCCTCCTCCTCCTCCTCCTCCTCATCATCATCATCATCATCATCAATCAATCAATCAATCAATCAATCAATCAATCAATCAATCAATCAATCAATCAATCAATATCATCATCATCATCAGCATCATCAGCATCATCAGCATCATCATCATCATCATCCTCATCATCATCATCATCATCATCATCATCATCATCATCATCATCATCATCATCATCATCATCATCATCATCCTTTTCCTGCTCCTGCCTTGTCCTGCTCCTGTTCCTGCCTCCTGCCTCCTGTCTCCTCCGTCCTCCCTCCTCCGTCCTTCCTCATCCCTCCTCCCTCACTCCTACCTCCCTCCCTCCCTCCTTCCCTCCTCATCCTCCTCTTCCTCATCCTCCTCCTCCTCCTCCTCCTCCTCCTCCTCCTCTCCTCCTCCTCCTCCTCCTCCTCCTCCTCCTCCTCTCCTCCTCTCCCTCTCCTCCTTCTCCGCCTCCTCCTCCTCCTCATTCCTCCCTCCTCCTCTTCCTCCTCCTTCTCCTCCCCTCCTTCCACCTTCCTCCTTCCTCCTTCCTTTTTCCTCGTTCTTCCTTCCTTCTCCTCCATCCTCATTCCTCCTTCCTCCTTCCTCCTTCCTCCTTCCTCCCTCCTCCGCCTCCGTCCTCCTTCCCCCTTCCTCCTTCCTCCTTCCTCCTCTTCCTCCTCCTCTTCCTCCTCCTCCACCTCCTCCTCCTACAGTATAGGGCACGACGGCAAAGGGCGCGCAGAGGCGCGAGGTGGTCGGAGGGGCCAGGGGGGCGAGTGCTAGGGCGACGAAATCTATACGTGTCCACTGCTCTCTGGCTGCTGGGACATCCTGAACCCAGCAGCGGTGTATAAGTTACGCCACGCCCTCCTGGTTTCGCCAGGAGGACGCATACACAGCTCCTGGGTTCCGGATGGGCCTGGCGAGGGAGCAGTGGATGCGTATAGATTTCGTCGCCCGAAGGGCGCCATACTCTGACCATCCCGCTGCGCTGCTCCCGCCCGGCTGCCGCCCGCTGCGGCGGCGGCGGCCTCGCCCCGGTCCGCCCGGTTGACCAGCGCCAGGTAGGACCGTTCCGCCGGGCTCTCGGGCGGGAGGTTGAACTCCTGGGGCCATCTCTCTTGGCGTGTCAGGTAGGCCTCCCAGATGGGGTCCAAGTAGATGGGGTCAGAGAATCGCACCACATCGCCAATGCATCGCCGATGCATCGGCGATGCATCGGCGATGCACCAGTGACGCCGGCGATGCATCGGCGCCGTCGGCGTGGAGAAAATTGGGCTCCGCATCGAGACGCATGGCCGAAGCATCGGCGATGCATCGGCGATGTGGCGCGATACTCCGACCAATCTACTCCGACCCCATCTGGTAGGCCTAGAGTGTTCGGGGGGCCGCCGAGGCCCTTTCGGAAACCACATGAGCTGTCTGTGGGACCATGCTGTGCAGAGAGGTGGGGGCTCGTAAGACGGCGCAGCACGCCTGAGGACCCCAAGGACTTTAGGCTCTTCCAGTGCTCACACACACACACACACACCGCAGACTCCCCGGGGCGTCCTGAAGCCGCATTTGCGCCACCTCTTGGGCCGAGGGCGGTGACCACCGTTCAACCCATTCTAAAAAGCCTCCCTGCTTTCTCCGACGGTCGCCCCATTCGCGGCGCCCCCTCGTGTGCGCGCCGCCGGCATGCTCTGTGTTCCTGTAGCAGGGGAGCGAAGTCTCACCCAAGGAGGCCGAGCAGTTGGCATCAACACCGCTCGAATGCTGGGGGGCGCCTCCACTGCGGCAAGAGGGCCCTCGACCACGGTGACGGTGGCGATGTTTCGGCCGCGTGGGTGGAATCCGCACTGGCACCACCGGCGGAGGAGGGGGAGGCGGAGGGGGAGGAAGAGGAGGAGGAGGAGGAGGAGGAGGAGGCGGGGGAGGAGGAGGAGGAGGAGGAGGAGGAGGAGGAGGAGGAGGAGGAGGAGGAGGAGGAGGAGGGGGAGCGAGGAGGAGAGGGAGGGGGAGGGGGAGGAGGAGGAGGAGGAGAAGAAGGAGAATGAGAAGGAGGAGAAGGAGGAGCAGGCCCACAGCACCTGGCGTCGCCGCGTGCACCTGACAAAA